TGAAAAGTTCACACTATGGATATGTGTGAAACTTTTCCTATTAGGTTTTTCACCTCATCTAAGAACAATATTGCATGTCCAGAATGCCTGTCTTCAAAGGTTTCTATTGAATTCCCAAATAAACATGTGCTGTTCCCCATTCCACGTGCTGCTCAAATTCTTGTATCGTGTCCTGCTGGACTATTGTTTACTTGCTATAGCCTAAGGCAATAGTACAGCTCTCCCTATGAACAAAGGTTGCAACGTTTGCAGCTTTTTAGTTTGGAGAAGAGGCAAGTTAAGAGGTGACATGATAGAAGTTTATAGAATTATGCATGGGCTGGGCAGGGAGGGTGGAGAAAAGTATTCTCTCCCTCTCTCATAATGCTAGAGCTCATGGGCATCCAATGAAATGGAATGTTGGGATATTTAGGATGGAAGAAGAAGAAGAAGAAGAAGAAGAAGAAGAAGAAGAAGAAGAATTTATTATTTATTATTTATTATTTATTATTTATTATTTATTATTTATTATTTATCTGGCTGGGTTTCCAACAAAGTAGTAAAATACAGTAGTCTGTTAAACATTAAAAGCTTCCCTAAACAGGGCTGCCTTCAGATGTCTTCAGGAAGTCAGATAGTTGTTTTTCTCTTTGACATCTGGTGGGAGGGCGTTCCACAGGGTGGGTGCCACTACCGAGAAGGCCCTCTGCCTGGTTCCCTGTATCTTTGCTTCTCTCAGTGAGGGAACCGCCAGAAGGCCCTTGGCGCTGGACCTCAGTGTCCGGGCAGAACGAACTTCAGTTTTTCACATTTCTATGTCAGGTTCAAAATCCTCATACTTAATAATCCATGTTTGGGTTTGATTTCCTCCAAAGATATCCACATTTGTACATGTCATTTTGGCTAATATTTTTTTTGGGGGGGGGTAAAAAAGTAATTTTCCCTTATTAACACATTACTGCTTCTTGTTTTCAATGACCACACACATTTTGATACACACTTTGACCCAGCATGTGTATTTTTGTACAGGTTGTTACTTAGGCGGGAGAACTTGGTTACAAAATTTATTACAGAAGTGTGAATTCCAAAAGATGGCCCTGTTTTCAGTTTGCAGATTGTTTTGGAAAGGGCAAGTCAGGAAGGTTTCCCTTTAAATGTGAACTGAATGATATTTCTTCCCCCATTGCTACACAGGACTCAGTATTCTTGCTGCTTCAGTAATAATAAACAATAGCATCACTTACTTTGTTTATTCGATTCCATTCATGGTTCGCTTTCCATACAATGCTTCATAGAATACATAGGAACACTGGAAGCTGTCTTCTGCTAACTTAGACCATTGGTTCCTTTTGCTCAGTCTTGTACCCAGTGATTGACAGCAGCTCTTGAGGTGCCATTCCCATCCCTGCTTGGATACCAGGGATTGAACATGGGACCCTCTGTATGGTATAATGCTTCCCCAATAGCTACTAAAGAACTTTCTGACACAAGCTCTTTTGAAGTGGGGAAAAAAATCCCACAGAAACTGGCTTGAGTATTGTTATTTATTGAATGTCTGCTGCTGCTCCCCACCCCCAAAATCACTGTTAGCATAGAATCAGAGAATTGTAGAGTTGGAAGGAATCTCAACACACGGTCTTCCATTCAAATGGAAACCAAACCAAACCTTGCTTTGCTTTGCAAATATATGAGAATTTTTATTGTAGAGCCAGGGGGCATAAGGGAACATTTGCTCATGTGGCATCAAAATTGTTTTTATTATTATTATTATTATTATTATTATTATTATTAATTCAACTTATACACCACCCTATACCCAGAGGTCTCAGGGTGATTCACAACAAGACCACAACATGTCAAATCAAATCAAAAGCAATAACCCAATAACCCACCTCCCAAAAGCCACATTCTAAAAAGGTTTTGGATGTCAATAAGATCAACCAAAGGCCTGGTTAAGAAAGCCCTTCTGAGAAGAGTCTGCCTAGACCTAACACTACTCACATTTTCACTGCCAGCCAAAACATATCACATTCCAATGGCATTTTGGGGTGCTGCTATTAATGGCGTGGATTAATGTGGTGGGTTTGTTAGTGTTGGGTTAGGAATGGAGAGATTAAGGTTCAAATCACTTACTGAGTGAACTCCAGCCTCTCTGGACTATCAGAACAACCAGTAATGATGAAATCTGCATGTTGCTGTTTTAAGTTATTGTGATGGATTTGAGCAGATTTGAGGTTGTTGGTCAGGATTTTCGTGAGTTATTAGCTTCCCTCTCTTGATGTTGTCCCCTGTCACTTTGAATCTTTCTAAAATCTGAAGGAAAATGCTCCAGTTAATGAAACAGACCCTGATGTCCTTGCCCACTTCCAGGTCATTTCGATTGAGCTTCTGTGGGACACTTCCCCAAGAAATTGCATTCCATGCCTGGTTCTAGGAAACTTTGATGCAGTGAAACCAGGGCAGATTTAATGAGCCTGGTTGGATGTAAATCTGTTGAAATGAACACTCCAGGTTTTTATCTGCGCTTCCTGTTATTCTCCTGTTTAAAAGATTTCTTAGGACATTTGAGGAAAAATGAGATTGCACTGTATAATAATGCTTTCTCTTCATTGCATTGCATTGTGTTTTATGCGAGCAAACATTTAAAGCAGACAAATAAAATTGCCAAGGCTGTTTCTGTAAAATAACTGCAACTCCCCCCCCCCAAAAAAAACCACCACAGCACCCTAAACACATCAAATATATTAGGTGCTAGGCAGAAATGAAATAAAATCGAGATCTAAACAGATGTATTGACATAACCATTGCTTCATTTTCTATTCAGCGGAAAAATCATAATAATATTAATAATACCTAAACACATAAGGAAATGTCATTAAGCCTACTTTTCTCTATCGTGCAAGCATAAGGGGAGTAAAGTGTGTATATCTCCCTGTAGTGGGGAAAGTGATAAGAGCATAACACAACTTTTCTCAAGGGATGTGTTCCAAATCCACTCATCTCAAAGGCTGCCAAGATCAGTCTTATTTTATTTTATTACTACATTTCTACCCCACCTTTCCTGCAAGGGTTTAGGCTGGTGCACATGGCATTCCGAAATTAAAAGACGCCTGCTTCTTGGGAGAAAAGCAACGACAAACCTAGACAGCATCTTAAAAAGCAGAGACACCACCTTGCCGACAAAGGTCCGTATAGTTAAAGTTATGGTTTTCCCAGTAGTGAGGTATGGAAGTGAAAGCTGGACCATAAAGAAGGCTGATCGCCGAAGAATTGATTGTTTGTTAAGCCACTCTGGAAAGTGCAGCCCTGTGTGGGGACTATGGGTCTCCTAACAATTCTCAGCACTCTTCACAAACTACAGCTCCCAGAATTCTTTGGGGGAAGCCATGACTGTTTAAAGTGGTATCATAGCACGGTGTTGTGAAGGTTGCCTATGCCATTTCTGAGCTCGTGCACCTATGTTTGTGTGTGTACACATAAGCACATGCACACAACGTTGCATGTATTTAAAGGGAATTTTGGTGGGGAGGGAGGTAGAAAAATAAAGAAAGGGAAAAAGAAAGAGGAAGGAAGAATGGATGGATGGATGGATGGATGGATGGATGGATAGATGGATGGAAGGAAGGAAGGACAAGGAACTGGTTCGGGTAATCTTACAGTTTCTGTTGTTCTGCCAAAAGTATTTGTGCAACATTTCTTCAACGACAGGTGAAATATATAATGAAGCTGACAGGGTTGTTAGCATTCAAGATAAACCCTGGCTTCCTTCAAACACACTTAATTCATTCCACTGCAATCCCCACATTGGCTGTAAAGGTTTAAAATGTAATTTATGGTGGGAGGGGGTTGTGTGTGTGTGTGTGTTGGTTTTTTGTTTGTTTTTTTTAAAAAGACGCCCTTATTAAAAATAAATCTTCTTGTAATCTCTTTTGCTTCCTCTACCGTACACAACATTTTCCTTGCTGAAAGAGAAAAAAAAGAAATCAGGGGAACTGTTGGCAGAGCCCTCGTGTAATCCTGACCACAAAGATGATCTCTCGTTAATGAATAAGTGTTAAATAAAACGAGTTTTTATGTTAATTCAGCTAGGGGTGAATATTTAGATGGCAGCCTCTCCTCTCCCCCCCCCTTTTTTTAAAACAAGGAAGATGCTCATTTCACTTGTTAGATTCACAATTGTGTGGTAACACACAGCACACAAGGCAAATACAAAAGCTGAGGCAAAGAGGAGGGGAAATTGGCAAATATAGTTGGCAGGAGTGAAAAGCACACACACTGAGGATATTTTATTAATCGTTCTTGTTTATTTATATATCCCCCTTTCCCCCCAAGGATCTTAAGCTGATGTACATGCTTCCCCTGACCCACATTTCATCCCCACAAAAACCCCGTGGTCCTAACTGAGTGGTATTTTTCACTGGCTGGGATCACTGATGTGTTGAGTCAAGAAAACATCAACGTCACTTCATTGCCATCCCTTTATAAATTGGCTTTAATTGCTCTAGTGACATAATTGCACAACTAAATGCATGGTGTTGTGACATCAGGCCATATGTTACGTCATTCCCAGTTGGTCTGGCATCATTTTTTGTGATTAACACACAGTGATGGTTGGACACATATAGGATAAAAATGGAGCAGATGGAGTGGTACCAGAAAAAGAAGTAACCCAATGTTTGAAAACAACCATGGGGAGGGTGGGGAAGAGTTTGGGAATTATATCTGCCCTATCAAATAGTCAGATTTTTGATGCAGAAATCACAATGGGCAAGCATTTAGCAAACTCTCTCTCTCTCTCTCTCTCTCTCTCTCTCTCTCTCTCTCACACACACACACACACACACACACCCCAACTGGATTCAGCATCTATTGAAGTGTCTTTTGTAGCTTTTACCAGCTTCGTCTCCACTACATTGAGTTCAATGGGTCTGCTCTGAGTATGACATTGCATGTCAAATTGGAGAGTTGGAAGGAACCATGAAGGTCATCTAGTCCAACCCCCTTGCAATGCAGGAATCTTTCACCCAACATGGGGCTTGAAGCCACAACCATGAGATTAAGAGTATCATGCCCTACCAACTGAGCTATGTGGGCACACACTGTTTTGCCAGCTACAGCAATAGCCTGACCTCCATGCATTGGTAACCTCAAGGCTGGACAACCCTAATGCGCTCTACGTGGGACTGCCCTTGGGCCTGGTTCGGAAGCTCCAGCTGCTGCAGAATGTAGCAGCCAGACTGCTGACAGGGACCATCTGGCTGGCATCATGTCTTCTTCTTCTTCTTCTTCTTCTTCTTCTTCTTCTTCTTCTTCTTCTTCTTCTTCTTCTTCTTTGGTGATCCCTCGTAGCTGAGTAAGATTGTCTTCCATAAACATGGTTTTAAGTGACTGTGGAGGCCAATTCTGGATCCACATGTCCTTCCACAGTGGGGACATTGGTTTCCGGGTGGGAGTTGACTACGGTGTGGATTTGCCAAGCGTGCCTTCCTCTTAGCACGTTTCTCCCTTGCGTCCTGAGTTTGAGTGTCTTCAAAGCCCATGACACCTTTGGTAAAGGCTGTTCTCCAGTTGGAGCGCTCGCAGGCAAGTGTTTCCCAATTGCTAGTTTTTAAAATTTGCCTTGAGACAGTCTTTAAACCTCTTTTGTTGAACACCAGCATTATGCTTTCCATTTTTAAGTTCGGAATAGAGTAGTTACTTTGGAAGATGATAACCAGGCATCCACACAACATGACCAGTCCAACAAAGCTGATGTTGAAGAATAATTGTTTTGACACAGGGGATCTGTGCTTCTTCCAGTACACTGGTATTAGTTCACCTTTCTTCCCAAGTGATGTGTAAAATTTTTTGGAGACACCGTTGATGGAATCAAGTTGGAGCTGGAGTTGGAGATGCCGTTTGTAAGTGGTCCATGTTTCAAATGCATACAGTAAGGTTGGGAGTACAGTGGTACCTTGGGGGTTACAGATGCTTCAGGTTACAGATGCTTCAGGTTACAGACTCCACTAACCCAGAAATAGTACCTCGGGTTAAGAACTTTGCTTCAGGATGAGAGCTGAAATTGTGTGGTGGCGGTGGCGTGGCAGCAGCGAGAAGCCCCATTAGCTAAAGTAGTACCTCAAGTTAAGAACAGTTTCAGGTTAAGAATGGACCTCCAGAATGAATTAAGTTCTTAACCCGAGGTACCACTGTACAGGCATAGGCAAACTCGGCCCTCCAGATGTTTTGGGACTACAACTCCGATCATCCCTAGCTAACAGGACCAGTGGTCAGGGATGATGGGAACTGTAGTCCCAAAACATCTGGAGGGCCGCGTTTGCCTATGCCTGTTGGTAGTACATGTGACACCACTGTTAAAATACTGTATCTGCATTGGCTTCTCACTTACAACTGGGCCACATTCAAGGTCCTTGTATTAATTTACAAAGCCCTGAACAATGTAGGTTGAAGGACCACCCAAACCCTTATAATGCAGCTCAATCACTGACATAATCTGCAGGAACATTGCTGATCATTCCCTAAGTTGCTGAGGCTCATTTCACCAACAAAAAAAAATTGAGCTTTAGTGCCATTGGCCCAGTCCTGTGGAATACTCTGCCAACTGAGATTTAGAATGCTAGAAATATGCAACCTATGCTGCTGATAGAAGTAGTACGACTCATGCAACACGTTGGCAACTAATATACATACAATAATTACCAAAATAACTATACATTCTTTATCAATCTTCTGAGAAAAATACAAAACCTTGTGTAAAGCCACAGAGACTTATGAACTACCCAACTTAAGATGAACTTATGATGTCTGGTTTCAATGGATTTTTCAAGTGCTTAACTCAGTCTTTTGTTTTCTTTATCTTTTTAGGTGAGTTCATGAAAATAGCAACAAAGGGTAGGTTCGGTTTTTGATCACAATACTGAGAGATGCTAGTAAAGTTGTAGATTGATGTTAATGAAGTTGTAGACAGGGTGCCGGCATTTTCTTGGCTAAAGCTTAAGAGACTGATTTGCGTAGTATTCTTTATGAAATTAAATATCAATATACGTGCTGTGGTGCTGTGGGTTAAATATTAATTGAATATCAATATACGTGCTGTGGTCCTGTGGGTTAAACCACAGAGCCTAGGACTTGCCAATCAGAAGGTCAGCGGTTCGAATCCCCGTGACACGGTGAGCTCCCGTTGCTCGGTCCCGGCTCCTGCCAACCTAGCAGTTTGAAAGCACGTCAAAGTGCAAGTAGATAAATAGGTACCGCTCCGGCGGGAAGGTAAACGGCGTTTCCATGCGCTCCTCTGGTTCACTAGAAGCGGCTTAGTCATGCGGGCCACATGACCTGGAAGCTGTACGTCGGCTCCCTCAGCCAATAAAGTGAGATGAGCGCAGCAACCCCAGAGTCGGTCACAACTGGACCTAATGGTCAGGGGTCCCTTTACCTTTACTTTACGTATCAAGGCTTTGAGATCAGACCACTGAAGAAGCCCGGAAAACTACCTTGGAAGTGTGCTACCTGCAAGCCCCAGTAAAAGGACCCCATCGGGGGCAAACAGTGGCCTTACTTGGACTACAGGGGTGAAACAGGTGCAAAACGCCGGTACCCAGTCTACAACTTCATTAACATCCATCTACAACTTTACTAGCATCTCTCGGTATTGTCAACAACACCGAACTTGCCCTTTGTTGGTATCTTCATGAAGTTACCTAAAAAGATAAAGAAAACAAAAGACTGAGTTAAGCACTTGAAAAATCCATTTTCAAGAAGATCTACTGAAAGGATTGGGAAAAGACATTGCGATACCGGACAAGAAGCAGGAAAAAAAAGTGAAACCAACGCCACCGACAGACATAGAAAATCTTCTTGGGGCTGCTGGAGGAGAAGGAGAGTAGCTACAAAATGACACTACAAATTTTAAGTTGGAACATTAATGGTCTAAATTCGTCGGCTAAAAGGGGAAGAGTATTTCATACATTGAAAAAAGAACATTTGGACTTGATCTGTTTACAAGAGACTCATGTGACAAGGCTGCATCGGAAAATTCTGATAAATAAAAGATTGGGAGAGGAATTTATTTCATCGGACAATGTTAAAAAAGAGGGGTAGTACTTTATGCGAAGGAAAGCCTGTCACCAAAATTCATATTTAAAGATGATCAAGGAAGATACATAGCAATTGAAATTCAATTCCAAGGACAGAAATTTTTGATATTAGGAGTATATGCACCAAATGAGGGAAAATCAGAATTTTTAAGAAATTGCATGAAACTCTTCTGGACTATTTGGATTACAATATTATTTTGATGGGAGATATGAATGGAGTAGTGTCTACAAATATGGACAAGGCCCAAAGACAAACAGTGACAAAAGATGGAAGATTACCAAAGACATTCTTTGAAATGACTGACAATATGGATTTGGTGGATATTTGGCGAACAAAGAACCCCTTGGAAAGAGAAGGAACCTTCTTCTCTGAAGCAAATATGACATGGACAAGAATAGACCAAATCTGGATAACTAGAGGACTGGCTCCTAAAATCAAAAAAGCAGTGATTTGTCCGAAAATCTGCTCCGATCACAATCCAGTAAAGATTGAAATGACATTAACGCCAATTGGGGCCTTTAGATGGAGGATGAATGACTCCTTATTTAGGAATGAAGAAATTGTTAAAAAGGCTCAAAAAACCTGAGAGATTATTTCGAAATAAATTTGAACACGACGACAGAAAAAGAGTGATTTGGGACGCTAGCAAAGCGGTGATGAGAGGATTTTGATACAACAAAATGCAATTAGGAAAAGATACCAAAATGAGAAGAGAAAAAATTCTGGAGAAAATAAAGGATGGAGAAAAAAGACTGAGAGCGAAACCGAACTCACAGGAGATTTTAAAAGAAATAAAGCTATACCAAGTACAGTATATGAAATTGACGAATCAGGAGATAGAATGGAAGATTCAACAGATGAAACAAAAGACCTTCGAATCGGCAAATAAATGTGGGAAGTTATTGGCCTGGCAAATGAAGAAAAGACAAAAGCTGAATACAATTACAAACTTGGTTGTAGAAGGAAAGAACATACAGAATCCTGGAGAGATTCGGAAGTGCTTTCAGAATTATTTCAAACAGCTATATACGCAGGAGGCTCAGAAAGATTTAGATATTGACCGATTTTTGGAAAATAATGGATTACAAAAATATCTCAGGACAGTAAATCAATATTAAATTCGACTATATCTGATCAAGAAGTGGAAGGAGCCATTCTGAATATGAAATTGGGCAAATCCCCAGGGCCAGATGGACTAACTGCAAAGTATTACAAAACTTTGAAAGAATGGCTATTGCAACCGTTGAAAGAACTTTGTAATGAAATACTACGGGGAGGAAGAGCACCGAGTCGTGGAAAGAAGCGTACATTACACTTATACCAAAAACCGAGGGGAGAAGACACAGTTGAAGAACTACCGTCCCATATCCCTGCTAAACGTGGATTACAAAATTTTTGCTGAAATTATGGCTAAGAGATTAAAAATGTATTGGTAAAAGAGATTCATAAAGACCAGGCGGGTTTTCTGCCTGGAAGACATTTGTCAGACAACACTAGGAACATTATCAACATTTTGGAAAAACTGCAAGTTAATATTAATACTAAAGCTGTTTTAATATTTGTGGATGCAGAGAAAGCGTTTGACAATATTTCTTGGAGTTTTATGAAGAAAAATCTGCAGGGGATGGGGGTAGGCCAAAGTTTCGAAAATGGTATAGGTGCAATTTACTTGGACCAGAAAGCTCAGCTTTTTGTGAACAATGTAGTTACAGAAGAATTTAAGATAGAGAAAGGAACAAGACAGGGCTGCCCAATCTCCCCATTGCTTTTTATATCGGTCCTTGAGGTTCTGCTCAATATGATTAGAAAAGACCAATTGGTTAAAGGTATACAACTCGGAGCTAAACAGTATAAATTGAAAGCTTTTGCTGATGATTTAGTTTTGACAGTACAGGAGCCAGAAGCTAGCACAAAAAGGGTGTTACAATTAATACAAGAATTTGGTCAAGTAGCTGGTTTTAAATTAAACAAGATGAAAACTAAGGTATTAGAGAAAAATC